CTGACTAATAACATTAGCGTACCTCAGATTGAGACCCATGAGAAATTGAAACAATCGCCGATTCTCTTGTTGTTTGGTAATGATAGAATGAGCTGAACAAGAGCATTGCGGTAACGGATCCAAATTATTCAATTCATCCCAGCAACTTCGCAAGTTGTTGTAGTACTTGGTCACGGCATCGTCATCTTGTGCAAGGGTGCATATCTTTTGCTCAAGATGAAAAACCCTAGGACCATTCGATGGCGAAAAACGTTCGCGGAGATCGGCCTAGACATTCGCAACTGATTCTGTGTAGAGAATCGTTGGCACCAAATCTGGATGGATGGAATTAAGAATCCAGGATAGAATCATATTGTTAACACGAATCCATGACGCATAGGTAGGATCGGCTGCGGCTTGTTTTTTAATTTCTCCGGTAACAAATACCATCTTGTTCTTGGCGGAAAGAGCAATCTCCATGGCATGAGATCAATTGTTGTAATTATCACCCGTGAGGACCATGCCGACGAGATTAGATCCAGGGTTATCAGAAGGATGCATAAAATAAGGGCTATTCAGCTGCTCATGTGCGGGAGCGATGGCTGAAGAGGTTTGAGAATTGTCTACCATGGCGACTGAGCGAGGATGCAGCAAATCGCAGACAGGTTCGCAGGAGGCAGAGATCAACACCGGCAAACAAGATCTTGAGAATTTCAACGAGAAAGCAAAACCAGACCGCTGGACGGAAGCAGCGACGACACTGAGAAATCAAACCACGCCGGGGAATCAATCTGACCGTATCAGAGGAGGACTAGATATTGCTTAAGGGACGTGAGAGACGAGCTTCGAGGATCACCGCTCTGATACCATGTAGAGTTTGGGCAAAATGTTGCTTTCATTGATGAAACAATTTACAATATATATACATAGGGTTTAGGGCTAAAAACAATACAATGACAATTATGCCATTTAGTATAAACCTAATCTACCAATATAATACTATTCTACAATTTTTTCTGGTTTAAAATTCCACTGCTTATATCACGAATTACAAATCTACCCTTGGACGAAGGAAAGGTCCTCCTGCTTGAGCTACTTTTCATTAGTTATATACGATATTTGTTTTCGTGAGTTACTACTAAAAAAATTCAGCATAATTTTGGCTGTCCAATTAATAACAAGTAGTCTGAAAAATAGCCATCAATAAATAGAAAAGCGCGCTATGCTTTCCCCGTGATTTTTATTTATAAGATATCTTCATTACTGTGTTTTTGCGTGCAATTTAAATTCTTTTATTAATCAAATTAAACATCTTATAAATAAAAAAAGAATGCACGCGCGAATGTATTTGATTTCTTAGCTTAAACCCTCGACATCCGTCATTTTTTAACATATTATCACGATATAATTGGGTTATAAAGTCCCTTTCGCAATCTCACATATACAAAAGTCACTCCAGTGCCATGTTACAAGATGTCGAGCACAGTATCATATAATATATGCTTAAGACGACACTTTTCTAACTTAAAAATATTTATTTTATAATTTTGGAATTCTACTACATTGATAGTCTCAAATTACTTGTACTTAAAAGAGCTTAACTATATAACTATGCCGACATATTCATTACTATAAGGCCAAATGTCGACATATTCTTAAACATTCTCAACATTAAGTAAGGTTATAATTATTTTTGCCAAAGCCAACGCATCATCGATCCTCATCATACTTCAAACATCGCTTCTTCAAGCACCACAAGTGGTGCTGCATGTGCATGTCGGCCCGCACCGGCAGTAGAACCGCTCGTTCTCAGCGGCAGCCACCGACGGCCCGCAAGCGCAGGGTTTGAAGCCGCAGTTGTTCCCGGACAAGCACTTCTGCTGGTCCTCCCCTCCTGCCGCCGCATACCTGTCACAAAACAACCAGCGTCGAAATCGCTTAGATAACACCAGAAACCAAAGTAGCTAACGCGGAACGCGAGCAAATTGTGCTCCCGACGCGTGTTTGCTGGTGCCGTGGAATCCTCAAGTCGACTCCACCACCTCACCTGCACGCGGCGGAGGCAGGGGAAGGACGAGGGCAGCCGCAGCTGTTGTTGCAGTCGACGACGACGCGGCTTCCGGTCAGATCAGCCATGAGAACTGCTCTTTCAGCTCTTTGTTTACTGTTACGTTAGAGGCTCAAGATGGACGAGGGCATTAGAAGGAAGGCCTTTATATAAGCAAGGTGAAGATGGGGGCCATGCATGGAGGATGACAAATGGCTCTTTCTTAGAGCACATGGTGCTATGAGCAGTGCATGAAGGACACGTGGCTCTTTCTTACCATGCAAAATGCATTTGCATTCCCTTCCGTTACAACTTTGACCAAGGCCATGGAATCCGCCTCATTTTGCGGAGCTCCGTTAGCGGTCCCTAAATTTTAGTAAATTTTGTATATTTAAATACTGAATATTTATTATAAACGGTCACTGCACTAAAAAATTCAATTATTAGACGTGATATTAGCTTGTATTTCCGATGAATGGCGTTTGTGAGTCTACATGTCCATCCATAGGGTGAACTTTTTTTTTTTTTTTTTTTTTGTGTTCGAAATCCATAGGGTAAACTTACTCATGTAACTTTCAACCACTTTGCGTATAATTGTAAAGATTAATTGAGTAAACAGAGGTGAAATCCAACCAAAGGCGGAAGACCTATGCATATGTCTCTCTAGTGTGCAGTCCGACCACCTAGATCAAGCAATATTACAAATTTACAAATCGACATTGACACTTTAGAGCAATGTTATGAGGGATTAACTTCTTTCCATCTCAATTTGGGGTAGGGGTCAGCACCGGTTCGGCTCAATCGGAGAATCGGAGCGAACCGACTTAAGCCAATTAATTGAAGGCCGAATTTAGGGAGAATTGGTTCGGCTTCCGACCCGTGAACCTAGAACTAGCCCAAGACTTGTTCAGTTTCAATACCAAGGCCGGACCGTCAGTTCTATCTAGGAATCGGTTTAACCATTCCAGTTATTAGATTAAAATTTTGCAACTTTCATGAAGCAAACCGTGGTCTTCAACACGAAGAAACAACTGCATAACTACCTGACCAAATGAATGTTTTTATAGTGAAATGGTGCAATAGATTATATGAATCTGGTTTTTTTTACTATGGCATAAAATGGTCCTATTCATAGTTTTGGCCATTCAGGAATTGGTGATTCCAGAACCGATCGATTTGATTCTCGATTCTAAACAAAGGGTCGGGATTCAACTCACCCTAAAACCAATTACTCATAATTTGGGGATCAATAAAAGCAGCAGTATGGACGGTGATGGTGAGTGAGTAAAATCTTAAAGTACATTAATTATTTATTAAATTGCAAGCTTGTGCTAAATTTTTTTTTTACCTTGCAAACTCACAGTTTAGGAAAAATTATCAAAAAAAATCCTAAACTTACTGTATTTGTGCCAAGTCAATTCTAAATTTTTTAATAATTTGCTAATTGAGTCCTTTTAGCAAATTTTGGTTGGAAATCGCTAAAGTTGATTTCGGTCATCCTACATGAAATGGCTGGTGCTGACGTGACAATTCTTATAATTTTTTTAAAAAATAAAAAAATTATTATTGTTTTGAATTTTTTATTTTTCTCTTTACTTTTTTTTCATTGTGTCGACGAGGGTCATCGACGACCCTCACCGGTTATGAAAGCCTCGCCAGATCTGGGCAAGGGCCTTTTCACAAGTGGCTGGCGGGGGCGCGTGCGCAGATCTAGCGAGGCCTTCGTGACCAGTGTCCTTGCCGCCCACAAAGAAAAAAAAGCAAAGGAATAAAAAATTCAAAAATATTTTAAAAAAATTACACAAATTGTTTAAGTCAGTGCCAACCGTGCCACGTAAGACAACCGGTATCTATGTCAAGATGTCATCTAAGAGGTCTTAATTGGTAAATTATCAAAAGGTTTATAACTAAATTGGCCAAATTGAAATGTTTAGCACTGAATTGGCACAAATACAATAATTTTATGATTTTTTTGAAAATTTTCCGCACGTGTTGGTTCCAATAAAAAAGGATACAATCTTTAATAATTTCGAAAACCAATCACATTCTTTCCTTTTTCTGCTGAACCGACACTGTTTTCCAATTAAACTGTTTCGGATTTCGGGTAAATGTGTGACATCTAGCAAATCGCAAAGTCCAATGAATTTTGCTTGGTCACATCTCCTAAGAAAATGATGAATTTACAAATACCTCGTGCTATGTAATTCCCTTTTATATGTAATAAGCTTGTACAACGTACGACGTAAATGAAATGCGCGAACTGAATACGTACGATTAACGTGAAATAAAGAAAAATTTTCATGTGCCGAGATAATAAATCAATGAAAAATATAAAAGATTTTAAATTTAACCGCTACATAAAATGGCGAAGGTATCATGTCACTGATGTGGTTTGTGGACAACAACAACATCACTTCAGTTGTGCGATCTTCTTTTGCAAGGAAAACTTGCTCAAATGTGGCTCTTCACTCACTCTCTCTGTCTCTCTCTCCTATACAGGAGGGAAAAATTTGGTAAAAAAGAGAGATCTTCTTGATCGCTTCGTTGAAGCATATCCGAGAGGAGAGGGAGACGGCCGTGCATTGGATTTGTGGGTAGACACACACACTCTGTCCTAACCCCCGTTTTTCACATCCATCGGCCCTTCGCCATTTCAGGGTCCAAGCTTGATCCGCAATTCTCTCCCTCTCTCTCTCTCGCTATCTCCCTCCTTACTTGCCTCTCTCGCCTCACATTCCGAAGCAAAACCCACTTGGAGAAGACATTTTTTGGTTTTCTAGATATTTCCCATTTCGGATTTTCCTCCGTGGGCATCGATCAAAAAGCTTCGAAGCTCGGACGTTTGATTCCCATCCTTGTTCTCGTTCGAGGTAATTGCAATGCTCATGCAACTTCGCGATCTGGGTTCTTCATGTTTATTAGCATTTGTGATTTGGCATCCGATTCAGAGTTTCCTTCTTCGTGAGCTTTTCAGGCGTTGGGGATTTCTCAGCATAAGAGGAGAGGAGCGACGGTCATTTACCACCTCGAAATTATTTTGGCTTGCAAATAAGGACGGGGCAAAACTTGGGTTGATTTTCTGGATCAGGATTTTTCCTAATTCATATTTGCCTTAGGATTAAGCATTTTTTGTTGTCACATCGAAGCAATTCACCGAAGGAAAGTTACAGAAATTGACAGGAAATAAGCATCGTTTGGTTTCTTTTGGGAATGCTGATCAATGACAGTCTCAATTGTGGAAAAGGGGGGTTTCTCTCCGAACCTGTACTTTGATTTGACGAAAAGGGCAACTTTGAAGTGGGATAATGGGTTGCATTTGCTCCAAAGGAATTCTTCCCGGCCATTACAAGATTAGAGACAGGGGTTCGAAGGTTAGCAAATCTCCAAAAAGGTCTGGTGCATCCTCAAGGAGAGACGAACTGGCGGTTACAGCCAATGGCGGAGGCAACGACGTTGCAGATCGACTGATACCAAGCCCACATGAGGTCGAGACTGTAGTGGAGGATAGGAAAGGTGATGATTTCAATGAGAAACCGTCGAAACCCCTTCAAAGACGAGCGACAATGGACGTTGCAAGTGGGGGACGCACACAAATACAGTCGAAAGTGGGTAAAGTAGGTAGCTTTCCCCTCGGCGAGAGCGGAGCACAAGTGGCAGCCGGATGGCCTTCTTGGCTGACAGCAGTGGCCGGAGAAGCTATTAACGGATGGGTGCCTCGAAGGGCCGATTCATTTGAGAAGCTGGAAAAGGTCATTTCTCAGCCTTTACCTTTTATGATGAATCATCCTATAAAAGGAAAAAGATGCACATTTCTTTTAATCCAAGTTTATGTTCTCTAGCTAGTATTGAATCTTTTTGTTTACTAGTTGCTAAGTTATGGACATAAACTACTACCTAATTCTCGACAACTTTGAGGCTGCATAGATCCATGTTAGCTAGACTTTAATTGATAAGCATGTTTGAACTACTTGGCTCACATGTTAGCTCTCAACCTAATCAAATTTTTTATTTGACAAATTTTAGGAGAATGAAAAAACTTGTGATTTTTCAGTGCTGGAGAGGCGTAAACATTTTTTATTCTTGCAAGTGTTAAATAGTACGCTAAGACCAAACTATGTCGAATGGACATATTTGGTCTCAAACTTGTAATCACTGCATGTTTCCTAGAGAAAACTTTCAACCATATTAATCCTTTTTAAGCTGGCATGCTACGTGAACCCCAAGGGGTTGCTCAACTGGGGAGCATGTTCGTCATTCTCACATAAGGCTTGAGCTCAAATCACCTAAGTAGCACCGACACACGACACGATACAACATGACACGACACGACAAGTCATTTCTCAAAAATAAAAGAAATCCGACATGTTGGGACACGTATATTTAATGTATGTTTTTATATATACATAATAAATTATCATTTTTATGATTATTTCAATCAAATTAATTCGATTCAAATCCACAAATAAATAAATAAATAAATAAAAAGATTGTTGGACGAGTGTCAGTGTCCGACACGTTCGACACGACACGGAGGCCCTCGGAGAGCGTCCGTGCTTCCTAGCAAATCACCATGCTTGTGCATTCTCTTGGAGTCACCCTAGGAGCACATACTTATGTGTCTATGGTAATTACTTGGTGTGCACGTGACGGAGGGCCTGTCACATCCGATGGGGATTACTCGGGTGCTCGAAGAGCCTCGACATCCTCAACACCAATAAAAAAAAAAAAAGCTGGCATGCTACGTGAGATGATGTTTGAGTGAGGTTTTGGTTGGAACTGGCCAGTTCAGTTAGATACCACTCCATTGATAAGCCATTGATCCATTAAACATCGTCAATGGCCTATGTGATTGAAGGGTCATTGTTACTATATGGATAGTTTCTATGAGATGTTAATTATGGAAGAACTATATGAATTTTGTGATTAAGAGAGCCTTAATTTTTAATATACCATTCTATCCTCATTCAGAGAATTCTAAAGCACATAACTCGTTGATTTGACATTCCAGTAAAAAAGTAGAATCCTTCCATGAATTGAGGGAGAGTTAGTAGACATCTTAAATACATTTTGTTTAACTCTGGATACTTGAACATTTTTCCCTTTTGTGCATTCGAGCAAATAATCTCATCTCTCTTGGAGATATTAATGGCTAAGAGATTATTCACGAGTATTGATACTTGATGTTTTTGTTGTCTAATTGTGAAAAGAATCTTGATTCTAAAGTCCTTCCCAATGATACAGATTGGGCAAGGTACTTACAGCAGTGTATATAGAGCACGCGACCTGGAAACGGATACAATTGTAGCCTTGAAAAAGGTTCGATTTGCTAATATGGACCCAGAGAGTGTTCGATTCATGGCAAGGGAGATAATTATCATGCGGAAGCTTGACCATCCAAATGTCATGAAGCTGGAGGGTTTGATAACTTCAAGGGTTTCTGGCAGTCTGTATCTTGTGTTTGAATATATGGACCATGATCTTGCAGGCCTAGCTGCCAGTCCTAGTATAAAGTTCACCGAACCTCAGGTACACACTTTTCGTGTTTAATATTTCCTTAGTTGAATTAAACGTTATTCATGTGACCAAGAAGTTAGGTAGAGTATGGATAAGGTGGAGTTGTTGTAAGAGACTACTGCGTCAATTGGACAGCAGAACAAATGTTTGTAGGTTTATGTAGCTTCCTAGGTTTTCTCGCAATTGATGCTTGAGTTTCCATCTTCATTCCCTAAATATTCTCATTTACCATTTGATGCTGCATCTTCTCATTTACTGTTTGCAATATAGTCTTGATTATAAAATGGAGAATGTGGACATTTAACTTTAGGTCAAAACTCTTTCTTCAATATAAGGTCTTCATTCTTAAGCATTGTCTGTAATTGTGATTCACCACTTTCTACTTCCAGTAATTTCTTATTAAACTATAGAGATGATATAAACTTTCTTTTACCAACTTCTTTCTTAATTTCTTCCCCTAGATCAAATGTTACATGCGACAGCTACTTTGTGGACTTGAATACTGCCACAGCCATGGTGTTCTACACCGTGACATAAAAGGCTCTAACTTATTAGTCGACAATAACGGCAATCTCAAGATTGGAGATTTTGGATTAGCAACTTTTTTCCGGACCAATCAAAAGCAGCCTCTAACAAGTCGCGTAGTCACTCTCTGGTACCGACCTCCTGAGCTGTTGCTTGGTTCTTCAGATTATGGAGTTGCTGTGGATTTGTGGAGTTCTGGTTGCATCCTAGCTGAATTGTTTGCTGGGAAGCCCATAATGCCTGGAAGAACAGAGGTGCCATTCCTTATTAGTGCCTAATTTGTTTTCAATATTGGCACATTGGAAAAAACATTGTTTCAGACGTATAGTGTTTCGAAAATTATTTACCTAATGTTTACTTAAGCAATTTTGCCTTGTGTACAATAGCTTGGGGTCTATACTTTGGGTTAAATACAATCTGATCCAAGAGTCTTGAAGAGCATTCCTTAGTCTACTTATGGATGACATAAATTATAATCAGCAGTAATTTTATAGAAAATGGCAACAAAATTTGATTTTAAAAGCTTCTATATCAGGGTTTTTTTTTATACATTTATATTGGCAGGCATTTTCTGTAAAAGGTGGATTAGTCATATCTCCTTTAATATGTTTTGTTGTGTTAAGCTAAAGTCAAAATGCAATGACTTAAATACTTACGAGTCTATAATATATAGTTGTTTAATGTGGTTAATCAATTAATTTCTGATCGTGAAACATTTGTAGGTGGAGCAATTGCACAAAATTTTCAAACTTTGTGGGTCTCCTTCAGAAGAATATTGGAAGAAGTCAAAATTGCCACATGCAACCATTTTCAAGCCTCAGCAACCTTACAAGCGCTGTCTCCTGGAGACATTTAAGGATTTTCCTTCATCCGCATTGGCCCTGTTAGATGTTCTTCTCACAGTTGAACCAGAACGCCGTGGAACGGCTTCTTCAGCCCTTCGAAATGAGGTAGGTCCTAAATTTTTTCTTTTCAGCTTTCTCGATGTCATGTACGGTTTTTCCTCCCTAGCGTGTCTCCTTTTCAATATTTTACATTTTGTGTGTGCCGATTTTCTTATTGTTATTGCAACTTTGGATAGTTTAGCAAATTTCTTTGAAGACATTAAATAGTGCAATCATTTAATTTGACATGACATGATAGCATTGCCAGAAATACTAACCTTCAAACTACAACCTTTTTCATGAAATAAGGTGATAACTTTTTAATAGGATATCGAATCAAGTGGGCCTGTGCATATAATTTTGACTTACTACTCAGTGAACAAATTTTAGCAAGTAATCTTTCTATCTATTACACTGCAAGCTGATCTTTTGCTTTTATTTTCCTTTTAGTTACAACTGCTAACATCCTAAATTTTGATTTGCTATCCCAGTTCTTCACATCCAATCCTCTTCCGTGTGATCCGTCAAGTTTGCCAAAGTATCCATCAAGCAAGGAGTACGGTGCCAGACTTCGAGATGAGGAAGCCAGAAAGTGAGTCATCTTCTGTGTTGTTTCACTAAAAGAAACCTCCACTTTCCGCCATAAATGTGGCTGTGGGTTTGTGCTGATTAGAGAAAATAGTCTTTAGCACTAATGCAAAATCTTATCACAGGTGTTTAGGCGAAAAAAAATCCCAAATGAAATAATACCTCTATGGAAAGTTTGAAGTCTTACTTGTCAAAATCTAGCCAAATAACAAACCAATAAAAAAAGACTTTTTGTTAGTTACTTGTTGCAAATGAACTATCCACTAATTCATCCTTGTACGAACAAAAAGTTTCATCAAGTTTCCACTTTTCTACTTTAAAATAAAATACGACCATTGTTATTGCAGTTACTTTTCCCTTTTTCCAAATATGGGGAAGGAAAAACTTTCTTATGTAGCCACTTAGAGTTGCTTTATGAGACGTGTTTCTTACACTCAGCATCATGCTACTAATGCTACTATTGTTTGATTTTTATTCCAGGGGTAAAGCTACTGCTGGTAAAGCTCGTGCTCTTGAAGCAATTATAAAGGGTTCGAAAGAGCCTAAAGTTGTGCCTATGTCAAATGCCAATGCTGATTTGAAGGCATCCGTTCAGGTAGCTTGTCCTTGTAATTATATCTCATACATATATGTAAGTTCAAGGGTTGGATGTGAGTGCCTTACACAAAGTCTGCGTATGCATGCATATTGGAGAGGGACCCATTTTCTCATAGCTTGACTGCATTTCTTTATTTATTTATTTATACTTTAGAAGCGGCAACGGCAATCGAATCCCCAAAGTACCAGTGAGAAACCAGGAGGAATGACCCAGAACAATTTCACTATATCTAGACAATCAGCACAACCCAGTCTTGATGGATCAACACAAATTGCAAATGCAAATGAGGGTGAGGCTTTGATTGTGCCAGACCAAGAACTTGATTCTTCAAGTGGTGGTGCCGAGTTGACAAGGCAGAGATCTTTCATACATAGAAGAGCATCACAGTTATCCAGGTTTTCTAATTCTGTTGCGGTAGGAGATGATACGCATCTCGATTGTAGTAGGGAGACAGGTGCTAACGCCCAATGGAGGGACGAGGCTATTGTTGCCAGGTGTAATCATCTAGATGGTGGTGAATCATCGCGAAAGCATGACTGGTCACATCATTTGCTATATAGGCCGATATCTTTGTTTAAGAAGGGTGGAGAGCACTCCCGGAGGGAGTCCATTGTGGTAATTGCATTATTACTTGAATAAGCTATTTAACCTTGTCTCTGCTAGGAAAGTTTTTTTTTTTTCCTTTTTCTGGTTCCCTTTTCACTAAGTTGAAGGTGAAATAATCTGACTCAACCATTTTCCTTTTATATGTATGGCTTTAGTAATGCTGTTTCTTGCCATTCTCTGTATTTGTTTTCCGTTATTAGCATGAATAAAATGCTTGAACAAATTGGTATGGTATATGGAGTTGAAAAAAAAGTGGACGTCACCATATCCATGTGGTCATTGGAAATTGAGTTGTGCTAACCGCTAGGCGCATGTTTATTTCTTCATTTTTTTTGCACATTAAAACAAACTTGATATTTGGTAACTTTTTAGGCTACCCTTGGGATGACGTCCTATGACAATTGGTATTGAATGTCTTTGCTCGTATAATTTTTGAGATCAATCGAAAGTATCTAAAAAATCATTAAAAAAATTGTTTTGTAGAATAATTTTCCTCATAGTTTCATGTCAAATGTCAAAGAACGACATCAACTAATTTTCTCTTGCCTTTGGTGTGGTGATTCGCAAGCTATGATCTGAAAAGCTGATCTTCTCTTGCTTGTGATTGCAGAATTATTCTCCCAAAAAGAGCCGAATCCACTATTCTGGACCTTTGCTTCCCTCGGGAGGTAACCTTGATGAAATGCTCAAGGAGCACGAGCGGCAAATACAAAATGCCGTACGGAAAGCTCGCCTCGATAAGGTCAAGACGAAGAGAGAGTATGCTGATCACGGGCAGACGGAGTCACTTCTCTATTGGGCAAATGGTAGGTGATGATAAGGACTAATTGCATTTTTCTCTTGAAGCAATGACGCCCATGGGATGGCAACGATGACTGTAGGAAGCGCAGAATTCCTATCCAGAAATGGTAAAAGATATGATTTACACAAGCATTTTGTGTGGGAGCATCGATTGATTGTACGCCACCAAGTACTTATTCTAACCACTTGAAGACGCTCCTCGTGCTGTATCAAATCTGAAGCAATCTGATTTGGTAAAATTAAGTGGCGGTCTTGTTTGGTGCTTCAACAATGGAAAGGGCTGTATATTGTCAGTGCTTGCTCTTATTGTTGGAAGCAGTCTCTGTACAGTGATGACCCATCTCTATCTCTTCATTGATTGTCCCTTGATTATGGAAAGGTTACTACATAATTCGAATAAAATGGCTGAAATCTGGTAATTTGAGACGTTATTGTACGCGAGTTTGAATGGGTTCTCATCGATGGTTCTTCATTAGGAAGATGACATTATTAGTGCTTATGGTATTGTGTGTTTCCTTGTTTTTGTGAGACAAATTGCTAAATACACCAAGAATTTGTACCGAGAGAGAGAGAAGTTCCTTATAAACTGTGAGAGGCAATTATGACATGAAGCCAGCTGGTGCAATTATGAATGTCTGTTGTTGAAGTGAGGTTACAATTCATAGAGTTCGTATGTCATAAATTTATGGAGTATATATTCAAAAAGTTTAAATTCGATGTCCATTCTTGAAATGGTGGATATTTTCCCAATGAACGAGGCATTGTATGAATAGACTTTTTCTTTTGGCCTTTTGTTTTCCAAATCTTACAATAGACACATTTTGATTTTTTTTACCTGTAACGGATGTTTCTCATCGAGAGTTGCTCTAAATCGGTAGAAAATGCCGAATGCTCTTATCATTGAGTGTTTTTTTTTCCAGCCAATCGAAGTTGAATTCCATGCATGATTCCATAGTGCTTGGAGTAAAAACCATCCAATTCATGATGTCTTTAATGTCAAGAAAAATCAATTGCAAAGGAGAGGATGGGATGAAGACACCCAATTCAACGGATACATCCTCCTAACTTGGGTTGCAACCCAATTTGCACAAGCATTAACATCTCAACTAATCAGGGGCACATTCTCGAGCCATTTCTGCTGATAGACTCCTAATACTGGCTACCACAGGTTCACAACTCCAGGAAGTCACATGCTCCTGCTCCTCTATAGCTTCAAAGACCACAGTTGATTTAGTGTTCAATGCAACATGCTCTCATCGTTATTATTCTCCTATTCAAATATCATGCGAAGGTATTAGAACACACCCTATCAGCCCATTTCCACGGCTTCTTATCAATAGCTCCGGAAGAACAAGCCCTTCTAACAGATTTCTTAAACGACTCTCGGAGAAAACAGTAGGCAGACTGTGCAGATAGATGCCCACTTTCACCCAAGGCTACACAAGTTCATGTTCATCCTGAATTAAACTTCTTCAAGTCTAGTGTCCTGTCTTTATGTGGTGTCGACATCGTATCTTTCTTAGGAATTGTCCATTTATCTTCACAATAGCAAAATTTTCCACACAGCTCCATTCTTGGTAATCTCTCTTCCATCTTATATACACCTCCATGTCCAAGAAGCTTTTGACACCTTTCCTAACCTTCTAAAACTCCTCGTGAGGATAATAACAACCCTTCTCAACAAGGTTTCTCCATGCTAACTTATCCAGCAAGGCTTCATTGAAACACAACAAATCTCTAAAAACCAGTCACCATCATGCTTTTGCTTTGGTGAGATCATCCCACTTTTGTCTCTTTTTGACCCAACACAACTTAGCATGATGCTATTAACCTCTGACAACCATTTCTTTAGACACAAATGTAATTATGTTAATTTTAAAGGAAAACTAAATTCTTCTTTATCTTTATTTACTGTTAATACATGTACATCTTTGTATGACATAGAATATATCAGATTTCTCATATAAGTGGCATGTATTTTTATCTTTGTACGCAATCTAGTAGTCAATAAATTAAGTAAAATATGTAATTATACCACAATTTAATAATCCTCTTTTATGCCCCCTTTTGCTTTTGGATTCAAATTTTTTATATTTTTCTGTGATCCATAACTCTTATAAACAATGCCCATTAAAGAAGGGGAAAAAGCCACCAAAAACCCCAAACTTTCTCACTTGTGACACATTTACCCCGAACTTTTTTTTGTGACACCAAAAACCCCAAACTTTGCTATTTGTGACACATTTACCCTAATGTATTTAGTCCATGGGCATTTTCGTCTTTTTTGCTTTTTCTTTTTTTTTCTTTCCGCGAGGGGGCCCTCGCCGCGTCAGCAGGGTCGACCTCGCTCGAGTCGGGCGAGGGCGACCCTCGCCGACGCCGGCGAGGGCCTCCTCGCCGGATCCGGCGAGGGGGCCCTCACCGCGTCGAGCGAGGGCGGCCCTCGCCGATCCGGGCGAGGGAGACCCTCGCCGGCGCCGGCGAGGGTCGCCCTCGCTCGGGCGAGCGAGGGCGGCCCTCGCCGACGCCGGCGCGGGCGGCCCTCGCCGGATCCGGCGAGGGCAACCTCGCCGCGTCGAGGGCCCCTCGCTAGATCCGCGAGGGCGGCCCTCGCCGACGCCGGCGAGGGTCGACCTCGCCCGACGCCGGCGAGGGCAGCCCTCGCCGGAAAGGAAAAAAAAAAGAAAATGCAAAAAAGACGAAAATGCCCATAGACTAAATGCATTGGGGTAAATGTGTCACAAATAGCAAAGTTTGGGATTTTTGGTGTCACAAAAAAAAGTTCGGGGTAAATATGTCCAGGTGAGAAAGTTTTGGGTTTTTGGTGGCTTTTTCCTTTAAAGAAAACCTTGCTTTAGATTTTTTGCCTTCCAGCACTCAATTATTATAATACTTCAAAAATTCATAATATGTATATATTTATACTCTGTTATTTTTTTGGTCGATATATATATATACTCTGTTCAAATACACAAAGCAGAGCAGAGAAGATTGATGCCAATCTGCATCTTTCGGTTGGTACAAGGGTGATCGGCGATGAAGAAGCGACCGCTGGACCGAACGAAGGTGGTTTGGCGTCACTTGCCACCGTCGATTACGCAGGCATTTCTGACCGAGCAAATCGACAATGTCTTCTCCGGGCGGTACCACTGGGTCTCTTTCCGTCCTGGCAAGAGCAGGTTAAGGGGGCCTTCGCTTGCTCTGTTCTTGGTCAGGTATTGTCTCCTTTAATTTCATGTATCGCCGTAGCCCACAGGTTGTTTTGCGTTTCTTTTTTTCGGTTCTTGAGGTGAGGGGTGCTTTTGAATGGCTCTGTAGTTACTTATGCAAACACAACAGGGTAAGTGAGAGTTAGAACCGAGAAGTCCATGACTATTGAGGTTGAGGTGGAAGTTGAATGGCACATATGCCCGTTGTTACTCCTTGGAAATTGTTGAATGCCAGGGGATAGGTCCTTTGGCTTGATTGCATAATTTGAATGAAAGTGAATCCATTAGGACAATCACGGCGGCCTGTCTATTATGCACGTGCTAATAGATTCGACATGATTTTAATTTGTACATTAGAGTCTTGCAAGGAGTGAGTTGTCATCACCAAACGTGGCTGTAGTTTTGTTGCTCCATAGTTTAACCCCTTGGCATTCTGAAGGTCTTTCGGTAAATTTTCTCCTGTTCTTGTAAAATGGGGGTGACATTGTATGATCCTCACATCTTAGACTCAAAATCCAGCTCAACATTGCGGTTCTTAAATGAGGTTTCTTTTGGTATTTCTCGATATATTCTGCTGGAACTTCCCTCACCCCTTCTCTTTTGTGAACGCCTTGCATGCTTGCTAATGTAGATTCCCCATCTGTGCACTGTAATTTGTCTGCATGTGAACCTGCATGGTCTACCTAGCATCTATGGCTTGGGTTTAATTGAATTCTGGCCCACTGTTTTGATGCTTTCCTCTATTATCTTGAAGATAATGTTGTGAGAGGACGTGCATCATCTCACTCTGTTTTCCTTGACATATTGTAGCCAGAAGCGCTATACTTTTTCTAGAGCCTATATCAAGTTCAAGAGGCTGGAAGATGTTACTGAATTTGCGGGGTTCTTTAATGGGCACGTGTTTATGAACGAGAAGGGTAGTTTTGACTAGATTCATTTCAAATACTTTGTTATGGTGCTGTGAATTTTGTGCATACTTGAGAAAGCGAATTTAGTTCCAGTTGGTCATCATGCAACTCTTCAACTAAATCTCAGTAACACCCATGGATCTATCGCCTGTTAAAGTAGTGTACTTTAGAAAGTGTTCTTCTGCTTAAGTTAGTGGTTATACTTTTTTCCCAGGATATATTTCTGCAGAATTGAATTCTGGGTCATGGAATCCTTTTGGACTGAATACTTCAACAATTTACACAAAGAAATGACCTTCAAAGAGTGAAAAAATAATCTTAAATGTTGGTTCTTTTTCTAATCCATTTCAGGTGCTCATTTTAAAACAATTGTTGAGTATGCTCCTTTTCAATGATTTCCGGCCCAACGTTTAAGGAAAGATAGTCGTGAAGGGACCCTAATTACAGGTACCACTTTACCAGCTTTACCATGCTGCATGTGTGCATGTTTGTAGAATGATTAGGTAATAATTCCTCCACACCTTCCAGATCCTGAGTATATTGAATTCCTCAAATTATTGGTAAAGCCTGTTGAGAGTCTTCCCAGTGTGGAGATACAGCTGGAGAGAAGAAAGACAGCGGGATCCGGTCTGTTAAAGTTTTCCTGAATATCACTTTGCGAAAAGAAATCATGAGAGGAGCTGACTGGAACATTATTTGATCTTTCACTATGCATTCGTAGGTGCTGCAGAAGGTGTTCCTATTGTTACAATGCCTCTGATGGATTATGTTCGTCGAAAAAGAGCTTCTAAGGTAGTTACAGTCTGTATTATTGGATCAAATAGATCTTTGCACCTGTGAGGAACTGAGAGTTTGGGTAATGTCTGGGTTACGTGCTCTGGCCATACTAAATTTACTTTACTTGGTATATGAGTTGTCACATGGTCAAATGCTGAGAAGTTTACTGGAATAGGGGTAAAGCAATCAAACTGACTGTGCTGTAAATGGATGCTAGCTTTTGCTCTAGTTTTGTGAAACCTGAGTAAAATTAACCTAAATATGATGAAAAAAATAATACATTGTCATAATGATCTGCACTTGGGGCTTGAATGATGCTTTAGCTTGTTGAATATGAAAATACTGTTCATGGTTGAAAGAATGGCTCGCAGTGAAGTTCCTTCGAAAGTTTACTTTTATTGACAATGAAAGAGTTGGTTTCAGTGCTTCTGTTCTGATTTTTGGGTTATATTCTTTGGGTTATACTATTCCTTGTTTGATGTTTGCATGCAAAGTGGATATGACCTCCATCTGACTCCAATTGTTGTATGGAATGGAACTACAAGACACCATTATGTGATGTGATAGTGACAATTATAGAGTGTTCGTCTTCCAGGATAGTTTTGACCTTCTTTCCCATTTGTCAGAGGTTAAGGACAAGAGGCAAATTGAAGGAAAAAGCTGGGAAATCATCAGCTGAAACTAGGCCTTCATTATTATCTAAACTCAATAGTGAAAAGAGAAGGACTTCCACAACAACGGTAATCATTTTATTGGTTGTCAACATATGAAGCATGTTCATTCCGCTGTTAATTAATTTTTGTTGATATGTATATAGTAAATGACAGATTAACCATAGAAAGGAACTCATGTTCTAAGTCTCGGATTCCTTTCATGTCTCTTAGCTTCTTTTTTTCTTATCAATCTTAGCTGGTTGCATGTATGTTAAGTGGGGTGTTATATGCACTCATCTTGACTTAAGTTGGTTTCTTTTCTAAAAGTAGTTGGGTATGTATCATGGATTCAATCATCTTAACTTTCAAAAGTTAAGCATCCTTCTTTTTCGTGTAATGTAATTTATGATAGTACGCATCCTTCGTTTTCCTTTCATGTAATATTTTCAAAAATTTGCACACATGCTATTTCCAGTATAATTGGTAATAGAATTGAAAAAATATCCTTTATTAGACATAATCACCACCAGTGTAGATGGTTATGCTTGATCTTCCTTGACTAGTACTTGTCACTTGCTAGTTATGGTTTTTCTAATCTCTTCAGGCCTATGATTGGTGTTGCAACTCTACTTATTTTATGTGCATAAGAAGGAGAATGTTGGAATTTTACAGTATATTGACATTTTTCTATTTTTGGTGGCAGTGTGTTCTAACTGACACGGCAAGAAAAAGTCGCAGAATAGAGAAAGCGACTTGCAATTTGATTGCAAAAGTAGAGAAGTTACAGCTTTCTAACAAATCTAATACCTTGGGGCCCACGTTTCCAGCTGAACTCTTGGGTGGTGACAGTGGTATGGCTAGGACAGGGAATTTGTTCTTTGAGTGATGGCTATGGCAATCTATCTATTCTTAGGATGGTCCCTAAATTTACAGTTGAAAATCTATTATCTAAGGCAAAAGATCAGGTGCTAATATGTTTAACATATACAGTGTGGCCTGGTAATTAGTTTCTGGTAGTGAACCTAATCAAATGGTTTGCTTATTGAATAATGTGCTGGCATTTGTGGAGGGTTCTATAGGCCTGCACGCGATTGGCTTTACTATTGGAGATGACTCTTATGGGGCTACTGGCCCCTCTGAAACATCTCGTTGTGTTTGGACTGGGGTCGTTTCACGAAGAGGTTTTCATTAGATTTTTCTCTCCTATCTGTCTAAATTGCCGATGAAAGTTGAACCTGGTAGGAAATTAAATATCGTAAAAAACATCCTAATTTGTGCTTGCTGGCTGCTGTGAGCATCTGGCAGCTGGCAGATTTCTCTGTCCTTGACTCCTTGTTGTGGTCATAGCAACAACTGTGGGGACATTTTCATATGATCCTGGAGCTTTCTTCAATTCTTTCTAAAAACGTAATTTCCAATGGGTTGACCCTGAGGAAATGAGATCTGGCTTTGATTTCTCTCTCTTTTAGATATATTCTATTTTCAATGCGTTTCTGAAAAGTGATACTATCCCCAAAAGGATGAAGCAGGCTCAAGCTTTTGAACGGCGAATAGATTTGGCTGGTCAAGTAATTATTAATCTTTCCCTTGAGTTTGTTCTTAGGCAATGTCCATGGAGGCATGGCAAAGATGGAAGAAACCAAGAGGAGGAAAAAAAGGGATGAAAAAACCTTTGCTTATATTATTATTGCCCAAGTGCTGAATGCTTTTCATTTTGAAATATGACAACTGATAAGTTCTTTCTTTTGTGTATGGGGAATGATTGTTGACGCAAACTTCTATTAAACGCCTTCATTTCTCTGAAAACTTCCTCTGATCAAGCTAGTTGAGTTTCCTTCTTTATTGAATCTCAATCAAGAGCCGACCTCTAGACTTTTAGGAAATTTACTCATGGTTTTCGGTGTATGCATCTGGGTTTTCTGGTACAATTCATTATGATTAAAGCAAGTAATTGTATTCGTTTATTTCTGCCCTACCACTGAGGAATTCCTGTCAATATATTCCAGGAGTAGCTGGTTTTGACAATTGCAGGAACAAGAAAATCCAGCTTTCAAAAAGGAAGGTGATACAGATTCATAAGGTGGCTGCTATTCCTCTGTCTCCATATTGTTATTGGTCAGCATTATATCTTCTGGTGTGGTGCATACAAGAGGCTAGTTTCATGTTTGGTTAGGACTAAATATTTTGAGGCCCTCAAATTTCAATTCTGGTGTTCTTATTAATGTTTATCGTTCGAAGTACTGTCCTTCATGTAAGTGGCTGTTAGCTGTGAGATTTCGAATTACCTTGTAAGCTATTTCTAGAACTGATAAGTGCCTTCTAACCATTTCTTTGCAGGTCTTTGGTGGTATTGCACCGCGGCTATTCCAAGAAAAACACATGACGGTTCCATCTGCTGAAAAGCATGATCATCGAAGTGAAAAACGTAATCTTGTAAATCAAGATGTGCGTAAATATCTGCCTGAGATTCATCTAGGAAATGAAAAAAGACCACCTGGGGCCCCACTTGTACAACCATCTGTAAAAGATGCAAACAATGCCTCTGATGTGGTTTTTGAGAATGACTTACTTGATTTGGGAGATGAGAAACTGGAAACTCGAATAAGGTAGAAGGATCAAGTCATTAGACCTGACCATGGTGTAAGGCACCTTTGCTTTGTCAATCGGAGGGATCAAATGCAAACGATGAGGTTCTGTCCTCGTTGACATTTATTTCTGGTAAATGTCTCTTAGAGTCTTCAGATGGTAAGGATATGTTTGTATTTCTTTGTATTGTAGTATTTCAGATTTTGTTGTCTCCTCTGCATTCAATTGGACGCTATCTTCCAGGAGGCAATGCAGATCCTCAAGTTACCATTTCAGCAGTTAGGAGCTCTAGAGTGAGAAAAAGAAACAGCAGTCAGTCTTCTGTAAACAATGGTCGGTTTGTGTTTTGAGGATGTCAATTACTTTTAGTCAATGTTTTACTACCCCTCCCACACTCCTATCATGTGATTTTGGGGTTAGGAAATGGTCGAGTATAGCTTCATATGCTTTTGATGCAGCTATCATTGTCAGACCCTCCTAGAAAGGAATAGATGCTAAACATGAGTATGGCTGGCAACTTATGTTTCCCTGTGACAATCTTTATTTGTGTCACAAATATTCTATGTTTGTTAATCATGCCATAACTTTAAAACTTAAACTGTACAGGTTTAGTAAAAGGGTAGCACAAAAGACAACAAATTTAACACATTTGAAGATTGGGTTATTATATATGAACATGCAAAATGCGTCTAAAGAAACATATATGTGTCTAAATGTAAATAAACTTGCCATGTTGATATAAATTACATACTTATGTTTGATTAAATGTGAGACATGTTTAAATTGGTAGAAAGGTCAAATGTTTATTATTCATATAAATAGGGTGTGTAAGAGGTTTTAATCTTATTATGGGATGAACATGATTCAACTAAATTCGAACATTCATATTTTTGTGTTATGTCCTGTCATGACCCTCCCGACGGTGGAAAGACGGGTTTAGAGGTAATGTCTTGTTGAGGACCAATGGTCCTCAATCAGTACGGGTTCTTCCAAACCCTTACCTTGGACGACATTGGAAAGTTCATTTTAATTGATTAATCTTTGAAAATTCCGTCGGCTATAAGTTAAGTGAGATGCGGGAGTATATCTCATTTCCTATGCATCTAGAGATCTAAATACAGGGAGTGATTACACTACTTATTCAAGTAATGCCCTTTCGGTATATAAACTTGGTCATTTATCAACTGAGTGTCACATGCGGTGTTTTGGCCCCTTAGTTCTGCTCTGCAGTTGGCTGAGAAAGCTCGAAGTTCTGCATCGTCCTTCGAAGCTCCTTCGCCGGACTTGATCCTCACCAGCGATAATTTCTTGAACCTCCTCATGATAGCTTGACCAGTAATTTCTCTTTGGCAAGGTAAGACTCGAGATGCTCTCTATCGATTATTTTGCAAGTAAAGCTGCTTTTTGAAGTCGATATTGATGTTTGCTTGGAAAACGATTAGAATTAGAGCTATATTCTTTGATATGAACTAAAACTTTTCTAGAAACACTTTGGATCGAAATGTTGTCTTAGTATTGCATATAAGATCATTTTTCCGAAATGCTCATCATTTGTTCGACGAAATGTACAAGTTAGATCCGTGTCAATTAGCTTGTATTATAGATTAATTAAAGCGCAATCTGACTTTTCTTAAATGGCTTTCTTCAAAATATCTGTCGCTTGATTTGTTTTGTGAATCCATTCCTTCTTAGCGGAGAATCTCCTTCACCTATTGTTGGTTTGATTTCTGTCCATGTTTGCACGTTTGTTCTGTCCATTGCTGGATGTAGTTGAGTCATGTATGAAGCTGAATAAATATCGAGGTTTTCTTTCCAAATCCGAGTAGAACTATATTGATTCTTATGTCCATTTTCTTTTGTAAACGAGCAATTTGTTGAGGATTTCGTTGAAATTGTGGTTGGAGATCTCTTGAACTTGTGCTTTTGTTTTGAAATTGTGCTCTGGGTATCTATGTGGGTGTGAACGATGTTGGTGCTTGGAGCTGTTTGTTTGGATTGGGATGGCCGGGAGTTGATATCATGATTGTGTGAGGTTGTGGCCGGTGGACGATGGCGGCGGTCCAATGGCTGTAGATGGATGACGGCAGCGCTTGGTTTTGAGAGTTGGAAGTATTTGGTCATAGATGAAGGTTCAATAATATTGTGCTCATAAAAACGTTCAAGAAGGTTCCTCTTTGAAAGAAGAAAAAAATTTCAAGTCCTCGGAAGGGAGACTAAGCGAGAGAATGAACGCAAGAAGGGGATCAGGGAAGATAAAAACGAATTAATAAGGAAAAATAAAAGGAGAGAAATAGTGAATGATAAAATATGGGTTTATTTAGTACTGTTGCGATAGAAAATGGGCTTGAAGCGGTTATGATGGGCAATGGGCTTGGTGTGTTTGTATTCAAAATTAGTAAGCCCATTTTCATTTTTGGCCTGGACTTGTGAACTTCAAATCTGCCCCTAGGCACGGATCGGGCCCAAGGACTTGGCCCGTGTCCTCTTTTTAAAGAGAGCAATAATAATAAAATTAATAATTAAACAAATCGGAAAATTAAAAATTTAAAAAAAATTTAAAAAATAGTTCCTGATTAGGTAGTTTTTTTTTTGGTCGTGCCTGATTAGGTAGTTAGATCATGATAATATATTTATTTTAGTTTAGGTTCAAATAGATTAATCTCTTAGAAGAAATTGAATTTGATTTGAATTTAGCTCATGGGGTGGGTGTCCTAGAGCTTAATAATAAGGCCATTTTATATTTTTTACCCACTACATATTGGGTTACTTTACTGCAATCTATCTTTTTATTCGTTCTTTTATTACTATTTTTGATGAATTGGTTGTTATTCTTTTATATTATTTTTGTGCCGTGATTTGCTTTTCTATTCGAATGGATAGTTTACATTTTAGGATCATAATCGGACAAAAAGGCCGCAGGCAACACTCCGTTGACAAATAATCAAGTATAGGTACGGTAGAGCTTTAGTTGGATAATACTTAGAACTCCGGTTACGTAGGAAGTGAGATGTACTCTTGTATCTCATTTGGCTCCTAGCAGGCCTTAATAGACTAGTGGTGACTCCTTTACATAGACCTCTCACAGGATAAATCAAACTAAAATGAAAATCCCAATGTCGTGCGATGCTAGGGTTTGGGAGAACCCGTGCCGATTAAGAACAGTGGGTCCCCAATTTGACATTAACTCTAAACCCACTTCTCCCTATGGAAGGGTAGAGACCTGAAATTTTTTTATTTTGTAATGGCAAAATCATTTATGGTCAATACTTCATAATGCCTCGAAGTCATTTGAAGTATTTCTAATTGCTTCATACTCGTTGTCGATGTCGTGGAATTGATTGAATCGCTCCACTTTGCTGCCTCCAAGCTTGGCATTAGTCTTGAGAGTTAGATTAGCGAAATATTGATCATTCACTTTATTGGCTTGCATGGGAGGCAACACTATGTGACTCATCCGACTCAAGTTTTACATATCCATTTGAGGTGCTTCTAGCCGTTGTCCCACCTAGACATGACGCAATGAAAGAATTGAGTACGCCATCTTCTGACTTTACAAGCACTGTCATTGACATGCTTTACAACTCAATCAATCTAGCCACATTAGAGAACATGCTCATCTCTGCATCTTGATAAAAGAGCGGTTCTTCCATCAGAATCCCCAAGTTTTTGCATGGTTGCTTTTGGATGAATGACTTACCGTTGGTCCGATGTGCTAAAATCGACAATGACCCATCTTTCGACCGGCTTCCTATCCATGACCTATTTCCCCAATAGACTCCAATTGCATTTGTCTTCATCAAATTCTATCTTGATCACCTTGCAATTCGGAGTTGCCAACTACTACTTGACACATCGGGCTTCTTGCCAACAACTTTCCTATCACCTTCAATCGCGAAATCATCATAAACAATTGCGATGTGGACATTAAGCCTAAGGCACTTGTGAGGTACCCGCCATCTCGTGAGGCTATCAAAATCCACTCTATTTCAGATTAAGGAAAGTTATGCTCTAACGATCACATGCAGTTTCTTCCATTCTTGATCACATATGGCGAGAAGAACATCTTTAATGCGGTCCCGTTGCCTTGCGGGACGCACAACGTGAAGATATATTTCGGGAAAGATAGCGAGGACTCCTCCTTTGGATGCACCGTCATACTCGTGAATGAGCTCAAGCTCCATAAGTTGAAGGACTACTTGGTGTGTAACTTGTCGTTAGTCCCATTTGACGTTATTGCAAGGTATGGATTTGGTGATGAAGGAGAACCCTATGAGACACATGATCTTGGTCGGCCGACATTCTATCTTTTCGAGTATCCCAAGGCAAATGACCTAAAGTGCACGACGTTCAAGGGTCCCAACAAAACTTGAAGCTGCCCTCCTAGGATGTTGCGTTATCTTTGGATTACTTGGTTATGACCTTTTGGAAGAGGACGTTGATCATCGATTTCCTCAAGGAGCATATACATGGATTCAACATCAGCAAGTTTGCATGGCAAGTTTGCATGGTATAAGAGGGAAGTCGCATAGGGGTTAAAGGGGTAAAGGTCACAATGACCTACCTCAGGACCAAACTAAGTATACGGTTGTGAGGCTCACCGACGAGACTACTCACCCGATATCTTTCAGCTGCAAGAGCTCCGATGGCAAGATGAAAAAGATCAACCTAGTGAATACTTCTAGGAGAAATACAAAATAAAGATAAAGTACAAGGACATTCCTTGCCTAATTTCTCCTTCCGGTACCTCTGCCCCTCGACCAACATGCAAAACTCCATCGGCATGTAATGCTTCTTGTTTGTTCTTGCTGAAATCCAAGTAAGGAATGTCATTGTACTTGATTTCAATTTTGTATTTTGTTCAAGTAGTTCACTCGTGGATCTTCTTCACCCGTTTTGAGAGGTACTTTCATTCGATCTGAGTTGGGTCATTATGACCTTCACCCCCTTCAATGCCCGCTCGAATTCCTTCATGTTCCTTGCAAATTGGCTGATTCTGAATCCACGTATGTGCTCCTTGAGAAAATTGATGATTGACATCCTTTTCCGAAATGCCATGATCGAGTAATTCGGAAACAGCACGAGGCCTTGGGTGGTTAGCTTCAAGCTGTGTTGGAACCCTTTCACTGTCGCATAGTTCAAGTTGTCCACCTCGTGATACTCAAAAGTATAGAATGTGACTGAGTGATATTATGTGCCTTGTGGGGTTCTCCTTCGTCACCAGATCCATGCCCCATAATATGTCGAGTGGGATTGATAGCAAGTTCCTCGCCAAGTAGTCCTTCAACTTACGGAGCTTGAGCTCGTTCATGAA